CTTGTACAATTAACTGTAAACTGTACAATATACAGTCACAAATAGGACAAATAATGTCCAAATTATATAAAAAAGTTGTAATTGTGAAGTCAAAGATGAATAATTTTTAAACAAATTAATTTATTAATGAATACATATTTGGTGCTGCTATGAACAGAACTGTTTAGTATTCAGTCCTTACCTTGTGAAATAACCAACGCTGCAAATTTCCAGTGCAAAGTTTTCCCACAGCTTCACTTTCAATACTGAAAATCAATGGGCATGCGGATGAACTACAGACAAAACATTGCCCATACATTTAGCTCTAATTTAAGATATATTTGTATCTTTTTTTACACACATTTTCAGTCTAATATTTTTTTCTCTGTCTGCATGAGAGCTGCGATGCCACACACTTGTGTAGTTCAAAGGGAACATTGATCATCAGTCCCAGAGATGGCAGCTGTGGTATTTTCCTGCCATACACAAACTGAGGACAGCTCTAAAATAGCCTCCATCCTTTGACTATGAGTCTAAATGATAGCTGCTGCTGGGCCAGGAACACAGTTTAGAGACAGTGGGAGGATTTTGCAGTTGCAGCCTGAGGGACGTCACAGCTAAAGTGTCATCTGAGCGCACTGTGCAGTCAGCCTTACAAAAAGGTAACGTTATGCAAACAAACGCTCCACACTGCAACAGCCCACCTGTCAACATCTAACCCCTGGCTGCTTCTCTAAACTTCCTGCCTTTTACTACACCACCTCTCTTGCTCAATCTCTGCCTGTTGGGGGTCAGAAACCTCCGCTCATGTTGTACAGCTCAGGCTCGCTTTAATATTTAAGAAGCAAACACCACTGTGTAAACACACACATGCTCCGGGTTTCAATGTTTTAACCTTATTGATATAAAGCAACAAGTTCAGCTAACTGATTCTGTGTCCTGACTAGGGTGGCCATCCGTCCGGTTTTAGGTTGCACAGTCCAGTTTTGAACTAACATGTCCATCTGCTGGTACAGACTTGAGACGGATACTCATTTGACCTCCTTTTAAGATCAATATTTTATACTTGATAAAACAATAGCAAACTAGTATACTCCTCTTACTATTTTCAGCATATCCTGGCAAAAATTGCAAGAGTTGTATATTAGTGCATAGTTCCAAAATTAGCGAGTCACTTGCTTCATTCTGTTTCGAACAAACTGTTTGAATGAATCAGTGACTCACTCATTATTAAATAAACAATGACTTGTTGCCACCAGTTGGCAGTTTCAGTTTCATAAGTATCTTTTCATAGTTCTATACTCAGTATATTTTATATTTAACACAATCTCCTAACATTATTTATGCATTGTAACTGCAGTTTAAAAGCATTTATGGCATCTCTGATTAGCTTTAAACATCTGTGTAAATACATCTAAATGCCACTTTAGATGCAGCAAGTGTGCCACTTCTGTAGTGCAAAGATGGATTGTGTTGATATTGATTTCATTTGATTAGTAACAGCCCTATAGTATCTTATTATTCTAATTGCATTTATTGAACAAACATATGAATTTATATGAAAGATGATGCATTTAATTAAAATGTGTCCTAATAAATGTAAAAAAAAAACTGCCACTTGAAATCAATTCAAGGGAGAAAATATCATCCATTATCGGAAAGGTTTATTTTATGTCACTGGTTTAGTTTTGATCCTGGCTTCACAAATCCTCCAAAATGTCATCTTTTTGTCATTATAGAAATGGCCACCCTAGTCCAGACAGAGGAATTAAAGCATAGTTCACCCAAAAATGAAAATTTTGTCATCATATACTCACCCTCATGTTGTTCCAAACCTGTATGAGCTTCTTTGTTATTTTGAACATAAAAGAAGATATTTTAAAGAATGCTGGTAATCAAACAGTTGATGGTCCCCATTGACTTCCATAGTATTTTTTCCCTACTATAGAAGTCAATGGGAACCAACAACTGTTTGGTTCTTCAAAATTCTTCAAAATATCTTCTTTTGTGTTCAACATAAGAAAGAAATGTATACAGGTTTGGAACAACATGAGGGTGACAAAATTGTAATTTCTGGGTTAACTATTCTGTGCTTTCTTGGCCAGTGCTGCGGTGTTGTCAGCCCAGGAGAGATCCTCTGTGATGTGCACACCCAGGAACTTGGTGTGCTTAAAGGCTGCAAATTCAGGCACAAGAGTGCAAATGCCTTTTTATTAAAATAATACTGGGGAATGGGTGACATTAATGGAAGAAATTGCCCATCACATTCATTCATGACTCATTTAACATGTGAGCCTGCCCCCAGAACAAGACTCATTATGTTTTCTGACTCACGGTCTGCCCCCTGTGGTGAGGATGAGATGTTGCACACTAATGGTTTGCTAATTAGTTGTACTAAAAGATAAATACACAGCAAAGCCAAGCCATTAACAATTTATCAAAAGCTGCATGTTATTATGATAAAATAAACATGAAGAACAGCTTCAGTGGAACATTTTGAACATAAACAATAAAGTGTAAAATCCTCAACTTCGCTACACTCCACTTCAAAGACTTTGCTCACTACCCCAAAGGCAGTGTTGCAGCATGTGATAAGGGCCTGCTGCGTACCAGGCAGATGGTGCCGCTCTGTTCGTCTGAACGCACAGTGGTGTTCTGAAGGGTATGAAGGGAAGGTAGGTGCCCTCTCAATGTCAACCCTGACAGCTCCCTCAATTAGCCATCTCATAATTCGTCTGGTCGGGTCTCTGTGGCGAGGACATCTGGAAGGGCCCACACTGGATGGGGATGACTGGACACGGTATCTACAGCTCAGTGATACAGGATCATTCACTCACCCTCCTGTCGGTCCAAACCTACATGACTTTCTTTTCATTGTGGAACAAAGAAGATGATTTAAATAGTGTCTCAGTGTTTTTTTTTTGTCCGTACAATGAAAGTCAATGGGAGTCAGACATAACCTGAACCCCTGTAACTTTCGTTTCATGTCGAAACATCCTTCAAAAAAAGGTCATACAATTTTGGAAAGACATGAGGGTGAATAAATGATGAAATAACTTTCATTGAGGGGGAACTATTCCTTTAAATGACCACCAAATCGCTATTTCGTGACTGTTGCAGCTAACTCGCATCCATTCTGGCTTTATTTTTTATACAAACGGCCATTCGCATTAAAGATGACGACTAATATTAAATATAAAGTTTTATTAATCATTATCTATGAGAACAGTGAAGTCCACACCACAGCTATAACTATAACCACACAGAGAAAAAAAATATCATTGTAATCTTTTTCAGAACAATTTTTATCCAGCTAATAAATAATTAAAAGCAATCAGAATGAGCTTTTTAATGTTGAGCGCTTTAAAGCGACAGATGACATAACTGCAGTGCATGCTTACAACAGACAGAATGTTACATCCGTTGGTGTGAACACTAAAGTAGTTATTGTTAATAGTTATTTTCATAATTATTTTTCTTCGCGTGAATTGCCTTAAAACACTTTCTCTATTTTTGAATGGTTGAATGTCCTGCTTCACATATTACAGAAGTAAAACTGGTTGCAAAAGGCAAATCAAGACCACGCAAACACATTTGGTGTTGGGTAAATACCGACTTTAACAAACACCACTCAAACGCACAACAATTCTCATTCTCATATCAATGTCAGGCTTAGATAGAAGGTCAGGTCATGTCTGTCACATCTCTTGCCAGAGTCACCCCAGCCAAGGCGTCACATCAGGCTCCTGCTCCCTTCTGAGTTTTGTCAGCGTGTGAAGTTTAAACAAATGGCAGCTATCGATTCCACAGCCCTGCCAAACTACATCTGCCTCTGGCTGGCAGGTGCAGCCCATGTAGAGGAACACACTATCTCTAATTATCCACATCACACATCTTTCAGCAGCTGGCTGCAACACAAGCAGATGGTTATATCATCTCACCACAATATATACAAGCCAGTTATTTTCCATTGTTTGCTTAGTTTGCTTTACATTAAGGATGTCAAATGTAGTACATTAGTACCAAGTAAATACTAAAATTCATCAATATCTTGCCAAGGTATTAATGTAAACAAACAGTTATGTCCAAAGTGAATGTAAATAATGCAACAAAAATAAAAATAAATATGAATAATAAAATATGCAGCTGAATATAACTAACACTGTCATTTATACTAATGTAAATGTAAATAACCACTGTCAAACAACGGCTTTTAAATACCTGAAAAACTTAATGCATTTACTTTATTTTTGTTCGTTACTTTTTGTTTTACATTTCTATTACTCTTCTAATTTATAAATTATAAATCATTTATATTTTTAAAAATGTTTATTATTAAACAGTTTACTTTCCTTGAATAATTACTTAAATATTTGAAGCAATGCTTACATTGACAAATACTCAATTGACATTACATTATATATTTTTTTCAATTTGTAATCAGTCAACAGTCATAAAATGTTTTTGAAGGATCCTGGTTGCTTGCGTTCTTGTGTAGATTACACTGGGTGAGATGAATTGAAAAGATTGGTGTGTCTTAAAACATCACTGCCCCTGTATTGATCTAAGGGCCAAACCCTTTCGACCACGCTGCCTCTAATTATTTTTAAAATCTCTCTGTAAACAAGGTCTGGCTGCTTATCAAGAGGGATGGCATAAAAATGAAAGCTTTGAAATAACAGTTTGTCAGTTCTGACAGGCTGTATTCCCTGGTGTTTTGCTCCACTCCCATAGGAGCACCATGCTAATGGCCATAACCGAAGCTGTGACTCAAAGATGCGGTTCAAAGGCCTGCACTTCCACTCCATCAAACCGACCCACAGGTGACGTGAGCACTAACATGAGACCCTTAATTTTATGCTATAGGATTTTAAGAAACTTTTAACATTTCTTCACTTTCCTCTTCCTCAGCCAGCTGTCTTCTCTCCATAGATGCACTGAGGCTGGTGGCCATATGTTGGCTCTCTGACTAGCCGCAGGCATTTGGAGAACAGTAGGAAGACGAGTGGAGAACACAGCACTCAAATCTGTGCAGAGAATTACTAGTGCAGAGAGAGGCTGCAGCACTGTCTCAAGCACCATACAGAGTGAATGTAACTTCCAATAAGGATTACGACATCAGACAGTTCTCCGAGCATCCTGATTTATTAAAGGGGTCCTATTATGCTTTTTCACTTTTTTAATTTTAGTCAGTGTGTAGTGTGTATGTTTGGGCATAAAAAAGTTACAAATCTCAAAGTCCACTCCAAAGGGAGATATTTAGTTTTTTAAAAATCCCTTTTCAAGAACTACAACGAACGGCTCGTTTGGACTACAGCGTTTGGTTTCCGGGCTTTGTGATATCACAAAGCGGCTGGAACTAATCGAGCCGTTTGTGCCAGCCTGGGGAGAAAGGTATTTTAATAATGTAAATTATGTGAAAAATAATGTGTTTTTCGAACCACCAAGCATGAGGGCATGTTCTAGTACACCCCCAAAACAAAATCACGACTTTGTAAAAGAGCATAATAGGACCCCTTTAAAATTCAACATGTCAAAGTTTGCAGCGTTGTGGATAATCTCTCATTTAATGTTTTTACTGACAAGTATTACATACTTGGGCTTTTCCAAACGAATTGCCAATGTGAAAACTCCATCAGAGATGCTGTCAAACTTAAACCCTGTTCACAGTGACAGCAACCTGCAGTGACACAACAACATAACACGGAAGTCATTCATTTTCAGTAAGAATTGGTGATTTGTAGCGACTAGTGTCCAGTGATGATTGGTTTCTTGTGTGATAATGCTTCTGTCAACATTTTACTGTTCTGTACCTGACCTGCTTTATACATTTTGCATATATACATACATGTACAGTATTTCATAGCCATTTAAAAACATTTGTGAAAAAATGGGTCGTTCTAAAGAGCTCAGTGAATTCAAGTGTGGTACGGTGATAGGATGCCACCTTTGAAATAAGTCTGTTTGTGAAATTTCATCACTGCTAGATATTCCATGGTCAACTGTAAGTGGTATTACTGGAAAGTGAAAGCATTTTGGAACAGTAGTAACTCTATGAAGTAGAATACCATGTAAAGTTACAATGTGGGGTCACAGAATGCTGAGGCGCATGCTACGTAAAAGTCACCAAAGGCACATAGCCACTGGACTCTGGAGCAGTGGAAACTCATTCTATGGAGTGACGAATCATGCTTTTCTGATGGGCGAGTTTGGTGGATGCCAGGATAACATTACCTGCCTGACTCTATTGCATTTTCTACAGTTGAAACGCTGGGTAATTGTGAGACAGATGATGCATTTTGGTTAGTTTTACTAGATAATATAAATATAATTTCATGATAAAATGCACATAATTTGAAAGACGAGACTGTTTCATCAAACATAAGATATTCACAAAACATTTCTTACTTCATTGTCTTTCTATAAACAGCTCTATGACATCCGACTCAAAATGATAAAGCATGTCACATATGATTATTTCTACCTACATACTGTACAGTGATATAATAAAAAAATTAATTGCGGAAAACTGTGCCAGAAATTGTCTGAATTCTGAGTGAGTTAGATTCATGCATTGATAATCGTTCATCTTGTTCATGATATGATGTATTATGCACCACTGCTTTATTCAAATGCTCTCCCCTGCAGAAATAAAACTGATTCCTTCTCAAAACAGACTGACATCTTATTTTCACCGGCAATATATTTGCTTTCAGTAATAATGGCCAACAACACCAATAACGGCCAACAACAGAAACACATACTAGCGACCAACAGCACAAACAAAAGGTCTTTACAATCACATTTAAACTAGGGCAAAATATTTTTAAGAACAGACAGGCTTCACCAATAGGTTTAGTTCAATAGTAAACAAAAGCTTTGCATTTTTGAGACACTGTGGGCACAATTTTATGAAGATGTCAACTGTGATGAAATCAAACTGGGTTCTGATGCTGGGGGTGGATTAGTGATCACTGGGGTTTCAGATGAAAGAAAACCCCAGAGCAAAAGCAGACACAGGTCACACTGAGTTCACACATTCTGCCTGACATCTGGATCACTGTTGGTCACTTGAAATATCACAATATATTTTCGAATCTCAGCTTGGATGCTGAGCAATTACATGTACAAGTGTATAGATTTTTTAAAGATACTCAATTTTCCATTTCATATGTTCCTCAATAGCATTACAGGCTACTTTCAGAGCATATGCAATGATTTACTCTTCCTCTATACATCAGGTTTAATCAATCAAATTCACTCAATCATTCAGTTTCCCATTACCGCTGTTATTGCCTCGCAGTGCTAATAAAAAGCAAATCAGACACATCCTGTCAGGGCTTCTGAGGATAAACATGTTGTGACCCACAGAAAAGACAACAAATGAATATTGATTCTTCCTCTGGCAACCTCCTTGATACATGACAGAGAGTTTTATATACTGCTAGTAGGTGTAGGCGATATGACCAAAATCTTGTTTCAAAATATGATTAATTTTATATCACAGTAACAATATATATATATCATGATACAGTTATTTTTTGCTTTAAATAAGGTCTTTATGATATAAAATTTTTTGATACCATGGAAATTTCATAATTCTTGTCACCAGTGTCAATATCACAAAAAATGAATACTAGCGTAAATTAAAAAAAAAATACTCAAGCCAACTGAAGACAAGTAAACAGACAGCGATTAAATAAGAACAAGAAACTAATTACAAGCAATAGGACAAAAAATTACAGTAGAAAAAAATAAATAAGAAATGCTACATTGTATAATCAAATGTAGAAAAACACTGCATATTCTTCACTGTGTAAATAAAATATTTCTTCTTATTAAAGTTACAAAAGTGATTTAATCAAGAGCAGTGACATATTTTCTATCTTTTGTTTGATTAACGTGATTGAAGAAATATTAGACTGCTGTCACTTTAAGAGCTACCCGGATCCGATATACTGTTACACGTGTTTTATTTCTTAGCTGTTTGCTTTCACTTAAGCCCTAAATCAACTACAAAGACGGGCATTTTGACACAAATAAGTATGTGTATTTAACCGTTCAAGGGCTATAAAGTGGCAAAAATAACTCAATACTCCCGTGCTCTATGAGCACCATGTTCATGTGTGTGCCTCTCTGACAGCGTTCAGAGACAGTGCGCACATATAGCTAAATGGGTTTTCTTTTGCTACTGATTGCATTTCAACGGCTTAAAATCACTTGTTTTTAAACCGGAATGCTTAAAAATGCATGCAAACAATACATTTTCGGTATATCGCCCACCCCTAACTGCTAGAGTGCACTGCTAGATGATAGATAGAACAACAGAATGAATGATAGGACAATAGATGGATAGACAGAACAAAACGATAATGTATTTGCAGGCTGACCTGTGCTGCTCTGGATGGTTCTGACAGTAGTGGTGGTCCTCGGGGGGGAGGCCGGGAGCAAAGGCCTGTCGTCGTCCTGTGAGCAGCCCTGGTCGATGGCACGCACATAACTGTGACTCCTCATGCGGAAGCACCCGGGCATGGGCAGGTCCAGGGCGTCCACTGCCTGTGACTCCATTTCACTGAACACACTCTCACACACTGCCTCTATCTGCCCGTTAACCTCAACCTCACTCACCTGCAGGCAGAGGAGAAGAGAGGAGAGATACAGAGAGAAAGAAAAGTCAAGAAATGAAAATTGGAAAAGAACAGTCAAGAGAAACAGACAGGGCAGAGTTCAGGGAAAAGAGCCGTCCAATGAGCTTCAAGACCCACTTACCATGGGGCACTGTAAACTGAAAAACACAAGGCAGTGGCAAGAGGAGGAAGAGTCAAAAAAAGAAACATAGCGAGGCTTGAAGGACAGTTTCACAGGGTAAATGAAGGGGCAAGCCACACCAGCAGGGAGGAACTCCTCAAGTGGGGTTTATTGACAAGGTGGAAGACAGCGAGACAGTGCCAGGATCAACATGTTCATTAGTGTTGATCGTAACAGGAACCGAGGGTGGACGAGAGTGGGGGGTAAATGAATATGTGATAAGGTAGAAGTGTGGAAAGAGGATTGTAGAAAGGGTGGGTGTTTTGGACAAGGTCTACAGCTTGAAACTCTGTCCCAATTACTCATGAGAGCTAGATGGGTATGTTCTTATTTACTAACTGTGAAGTTTAGAGTCATGCGCCATCTACAAAGTCTTTACAGGAAGGTCTAAAGTATTTCTAATGCTAATATTACTTGCTCATTTCGTTTTTTGGTCTTCCATCAAAGAGCACATGCCATCTCAGAGTCAACGTTGGCGCCAAATGACAATGATGTAATGCTTGCCATTTTATAATTAGCATGACTAATCAGTGCTTGGGGACTAAGTGTGCCTAAGACGGATGAGTAACTGTCTGATGAATGCCATCCCAGTTCTACGAAACATGGAGCATGTTAGTTGGTTAGACATACACATCTGTGATTGAACAATGTTTATGGTGATGGCCCAAATTCATCTAATGAATGGTGGATGAATCGCAGGTCGGTTTCATGGTTTTTAACTGGACTTGTTGGACTAATCAGGACCGAGTTTGACCTTCCTCCCCTTGCACCCCGCTATGATGGTGTGTACACACAAAAATATTTTACATTATTTTTTATATTACATTATTATATAAAATATAAAATTGTACCACATTTTTGTTTACTCTTGTATTTTTATTTAATATTTAAAATGTAAATTTTATTATAATGAGTACATTTATGTAATTTTTTACATAAAATAACAACAACAACAACAATAATAATAATACATTTTATTGAAAATATTTAAAAATATATATTTTCTTTTATAAAACGTATTAATAAATTTATATTTTTAAAAATATTTATTTAATTAATATATTATTGGGACCAGTTATTGGGTTACATTTATGGTATCCATAAAAAGTCTGTGTAAGCACATATTTTACAAGAATTGGATTATATTTATATTTGTTAAACCTGTTATATCAAAAGAAAAAAAATATGAAAAAAATGGTAATAATATTAATATATTTTATGCATATTAGATAGGTTAGATACACACAATTTAGTGAGCAAATTCCCTCCATGTTAACACATTGTTGAATGACAATACAATAAAATGATTTTTTTTTGTGGCAAAAACACACGTTTAAATAAAAGATGGCGCTCTGGTCATTCTTCTCTGGATGGCATGATGCAAACTGAGAGCCACATAGAATTTCCTCCAATCAAATGTGTAGCATATTCTTTGACGTCACGAGTATTAAACACATTTAGATGCCACACTCCTCGTCAAGGTCCCTTCATCAGGGCTCATGGGGGGGCTGTGAGCAAATCAAACGCTCATGCAAGACCTCTGCAAGTGTTCAGTGCACAGCAGCGTACATTATGGATGTGGCTCTTCAAATAGATAAAGGGACGGCTCCATCAGGTCACTCAGGCATAAAGCAGGTGGGGTGAGTGCAGCACACGGGCAAGGAGAGAAACAGCTAAACTCACTTAAGGTCGCCCACGCAGCCCAGCACACACATGCCCGACGCTCGCGCTGACACTTTGCTTACAGGCAGACACCTTGCATCCGCATCAGCAGTGTGGGAATTAGTGGAAGCTCCAGCATTGGCGTAGATCTCCCACCCTCCATCTGCATGGCTTCACACATACATAATAAGTGAACACAGCAACTCCTCACGGAGCGGTACTGTCCAAAACGCCCCAGGGCATCTCTCTACACTATTGGAGAACAGAATGGCTAAACTTCACAAGAAGCGCTCAGGGGGGCCGCATCCCCCATGGTGAACCTGACTTTGGGGAACTGGTTATGCATGATGTCATCGTTGCGGAATAAGCCGATAAGTTTGCGCCTTGCTGTCGCGGTCGTCTCGATGGATTGGTTGCTGTGCGGTTGTTAATTACGTCAGCCATTCACAATGCAGCGCTGTGGCTCACGTACTTTCTGCTGCAGTGGCAGCTCCCCGAGGCTGTCTATTTTCATGTTTCACAAAGATACGGAATTGTATCCGATGACTAATGTACATGTGAGTTATTCGGTCTTCTGAGCTATAAAATAAGCAGCTCCACTCCTACTTAATATAAAGAACGAGCTCGATAAATATAGACATCAAACACTCACTTAGTATTATTAATCATAAACAATGTTAAAGGTCAAAGCACTGTCCCCTGGCATATAATCAGGGCATTAGTTGGTTGGAAGGATTGCGACTGTACTCTAAAGCAAATAAACCTCCCTTGCACATGCAGATGTAACACTGGCATTTGAAGCTTTTCTTCGTCAATAAACAGATAAAACCATCAAAATGCGGGATTGAGGAAATTCCACAAGATGAAATATTTATGAGCGTACATAATGCCAGAACAGTATTACAAATCTGCAAATCCTCCAATCTTTGTCTGGGCTTTCCACTGCGCTTAGGGTGGAATCTCGGAGCACTTTCGTAGAGCTTGAGCAGATATCAATCTGAAATTGAAGCAAAGAAATTACACTGCTGTCTTGTCAATCCTACATATCAGTGTTAATCTCAACAACAAAATTACTGAGGAAAATGTTAACAAAGGATTTTTGGTTTCACCACTGATGAAAATCAGATGAAAAATATATATCATAAGTATAGCGTTAAGTATTATATGTGTGTGTGTGTGTGTGTGTATATAATGAATATATGAACTATATTTACATTTAGACATTTAGCAGACGCTTTTATCCAAAGCGACTTACAAATGAGGACAATGGAAGCAATCAAAATCAACAAAAGAGCAATGATATGCAAGTGCTATGACAAGTCTCAGTTAGCCTAATGCAGTACATTTAGCAAGGTTTATATAAATAAAATATACAATATAATTTATATAATAAATAAAAAGAAAACAGATAGAATAGAAAAAGAATAGAGCAAGCTAGTGTTAGAGGTCTTTTTTTGCTTTTGTTAATTGTATAATAAATAAAAAGAAAACAAATAGATAGAATACAAAAAGATTAGAGAAGCAAGTGTTAGTTTTTTCTTTTTTAAGAAAACAAGCAGTTAGTAAATAAATAGATTGCAAGTCTAAAAGGGGCAAGTTTTTTTTATTATTTTCTTTTTTTTATAAAGAACAGAATTAGAATAGAGAGTGCTAGAGTTAGAGGGTCAAATAAAGATGGAAGAGATGTGTTTTTAGCCGATTCTTGAAGATGGCTAAGGACTCAGCTGCTCAGACTGAGTTGGGCAGGTCATTCCACCAGGAGGGAACAGTTAATTTAAAAGTCCGTGAAAGTGATTTTATGCCTCTTTGGGATGGCACAATAAAGCGACGTTCACTTGCAGAACGCAAGCTTCTAGATGGGAACATAGGTCGGAAGTAATGAATTTAGGTAAAGGGGTGCAGAGCCACTGGTAGCCAGGGCAAATTGATAAACAGAGGTGTGACGTGCATTCTTTTCGGCTCGTTCAAATTTAATCTTGCTGCCGCGTTCTGGATTAATTGTAAAGGTTTGATAGAACTGGCTGGAAAAAAGTTTGAAAATTATCACTGCACATTAGTGTATATACAGATGTTGTCAAAAGTTTACATAAACCTTGCAGAGGTAAAAAAAAAAAAAAGATCATGAAATAGGCTTTATTATTATATTAAAATGTCATATAAATTAGATGCGATTTTTGTGATTAAAAATGTAAACAAATTATGAAATGAAATACTAAATTGATTGGATCTTTGTCAAAAAAGTGTGACAAAAAATTATCACTGCACATTAGACTCCAGTAAGATGCAAGAAATGAGAACAGATACAATAATGAGAACAAACAATTGATTTAATGAGCCCACCTACAGACCATTTGAGGCAACCTCTTTAGACGTATTACAGCACAAATCTGTTACTATGACAACCCCACAATTACTTACCTAAACGTAGACCAACCCCCGCTCACACACACACACACACACACACACACACACACACACACACACGTTGTACTTGCATGTGCTGGACTCTTTAAAACCACAATGATGCAGTCATATTGCATAAATATATGACTGCTAAATATATCAGTGGAGAACCTGTGAAGTCAATTAATGCTCAGAATAACTGACGAGCTCCTGCTGCTTACAAGACCTCAGTCAACTGGCATGGGAGTGTGTTTTACAACGCAAGAGCTTTTAAGGAAATCTCTGGGCTAATTAGAGTAATTACTTGTACCTTTGCCACTGCAGTGGCGTGGCATATTGTGCTTCCTTAATTAAATCCGCACTCGGCTCCTGACAGGCAGGAATAATGGTGTTGTGTGTTACTGTGGAGATGCTGACTGATATCTCCGCTGTGGGAAGCATGTCTGTCTGACCATCTAATCTCGCACCCTTCAATGTGTCCGTGTGGATCCTTTATGGGTTCTGCCCGTCAAGCTGTGCTAGGAGTCCCAAGTCATACAGCAGGTTGGTAATTAGTGCAGCGCTGAACCCTGGTTGATTAGCCACTCATTACTCAGCAGTAACAGAAAAGCCTGGTGACCTAAATGAAGAGGAGTCAGGTGCCCATGGGGAAGCAGGGCATGGAGGTACAACAGTCCAACCCAATCAATCTGAGCTCAGAGCTGGACGAAACCAAAGGAAGAACACAAAGAAAACAGTTCCGAGTGGTAGTCAAAGGGCACAAATGACCAGTTTGAGGTTAATGTTTTGCTTAAACTTTAAATTAAATGTAATATCTCTCAAATCCAACAGCAGTCATTTGATATTATTTAATTTATACAACAGCGAGTCTTTGACGCCCCTCTGGATAGACTGCTAATGGATTTTCAATTTGAATTGCAAAGACATGATTAATTTGAATTGCGCACTGACCTAGAAGGCAAAAGCTTTTGTATATCACATTCATGTTCTTAGCAAATGCTTTCCTAACAAAGCAATTTTCTGCATAAAATAGTAATACATAAAAAAGCAATAAAAATAGCAAAATAGAGAAAATGATTGGACTCATTTGCATCAAAGCATTTTTGTTCGCTCAAAGAGAGAGAACAGTAAGAAGATAAAAAACTCCATCTGTATGGAACTAATATATATATATATATATATATATATATATATATACATATATAATATATATATATACACACATACATTATATATACAGTATATATATATATATATATATATACACATACATAATATATACAGTGTATATATATATGCGCATTTATGTATGTATGTATGAATGAATATATATATATATATATATATATATATAGTACAGGAAAATGACAAAAACCTGTCTAAATTTACAGCACAAGAAAATGACAAAAACCTGTCTAAATTTACATTTTATCATAAAAACGGCTGAAGTAACTGAGGAACCAAAACAGATGAGATGTAAGTCTCAGACAAATTAACATCTTGACTAAAAAAAAAAACTTAGCTGCATTTCCATTACCCTTCAAATTTTGCAAACTGAAATTGCGAATTGAAAATAGAACTAATGGAAGCAATTTTGCAAAAAACTCCGATATATCGCAAAAAAGTTTTCACACTCACATGAGGTGGTTTTTCAGGCAATTTGAAAAAGGAATATTTCTCAAAACTGCAATGGAAAGAGTTTTTTTTTCACATTTACAGGTCACTTGGCGTATGTAAAATTCACATGACCATTCTTTAATATACTATAACCTCCAAGAAATACCTCATACATAGTCGCTCTCAAGTATAAGAGGCTTTCCTTGCCATTAATGCTTGAATAATTTACTCTGCACATGTCTGTGGCGCATTATGGCGCATTGCGACAAAACTGCAAAAGGTTTTGCGATACTACCAATAATAGTTTTTATTAATATTTTCAATTCGTTTTTTGTTCTTTTCTTTTCTTTTTTTAGTTATTTTGTTGTGTTTTTCTCATTTTGATTTTATTTTTTGTCTTATTTTTATTTCAGAAGAAAAAATATATAATTAATTTTTCATGGTCAGCATAGGAAAATGACAAAAGCCTGACTAAATTGACATGTCTTATCATAAAAACTGCTGAAATAAATGAGAAACCGAAACAACAGAGATCTGAGTCCCAGACAAATTAATATCTTGACTAGGAAAAACAGACTTTCCCTGCACCTCTCCGTAGGGAGATGAGTGCAGCACAGCAGATAAAACAGACAGTTAATAAACTCGTCACTCTCTAAAGCTACATGGTAACAGATCTGCATGCTTGGCAGGTGTTAAAGGTGTTGACTACAGCACTAGTGCGCTTTAAAATGGGGATTGGACAGGCAGAGGATTTCGAGCTGTTAGATGGCCAGCTGGATGACTATTACGTGGCTAAAGCACAGTCTTCAAGAGATGCCAAGCTTTGGATACCAACGCAGAACAACATGGTTAGAGCTGTTGCCAACATCAAACACTGTCATGCTTACTTTTATTTCACTTTACTTGCAGTTTAAGTAACACACGCAATATATTATGAAGGCTCTTAATTGTGGAACTCTATGGAATCTGGAATGTAAACTTGAAAATCAATAATCAATTACTGAATCAATTCCAATAATATAATAACTGCAATCAATGCAGTCCAGATGTTTTTATTTTGAAGGTGTTGAAAGGTTGGATGATTGATTCTACTGGTCCAAAAATCAACACAATAGGATATCATACATCTTTTGCTTATTGGTTATTGCTGAATAATATTTGTTAATAATCTTTTTGTCCCATTTCCACAACAAATCTTCTATATAGGTTATGGGACCAGCTTTCAGGTGAAACATCACCCAACATGATGTCTTTTGATTCAGCAAGTAATTCACTCAAATAATCAACTCAGCTCGTTCAAAAGATTGAGTTAAATCAATAACTCAAGAGTGAAATTTAGTTCGACTTTCAAACTGGTTCAAATGAATCATTACAAAGCTACTCTTGAATCAGACATCACTAGATGAAATTGCAGAACATGGTCGCTGATCAATTTAGTAGTTCATTATCTGAAAATAGCCAATTTGTCACAGCTTCTCAGAGAAGTAGTGCAGATGAGAACGGAAGGTCTAAACCGGATGTCAGGACTGAGCTGCCTTTTTTATAGAAGGAAAATAGGTGGGCAATTACCTAGATAATCTAAAAGGGTCATATGGTGTTGCTAAAAAGAACATTATTTTGTGTATTTGGTGTAATGAAATGTGTTTATGCGGTTTAAGGTTCAAAAAACACATTATTTTCCACATACTGTACATTATTGTTTCTCCTCTATGCCCCGCCTTTCTGAAATACGTCGATTTTTACAAAGCTCAT